AGCTCTAGGGAAACAAGGACTTTGAAGATGTTACGACTATACTCTCAAACAGAAAGTAGGCCCCAGGTTAAGAAAAGAAAATAGGCTCTGATTCCTCCTATGAGGGAAGGAAACAAGATGAGTTAGTGAAGGTCAAAAGAAAGCTGGGTAGTGTGTGTGTGTGTGTGTGTGTGTGTGTGTGTGTGTGTGTGTGTGTAAACTTTTGAGAGAGAGTGTATGTGTATAAAATTATATATCTATATACATACATATATATATATATATATATATATATATATATATATATATATATATAGAGAGAGAGAGAGAGAGAGAGAGAGAGAGCACAGTCATTATATCTTAGCATCTTATGTCCTGGTCATGTGCTTGCAATAAAACTATGTGCAATTCCCTACAAACAAGCAGGATAATATGAAGGGGTAAAACTGAGTAGAATAAATCCCTTGGAACAGTCTTTGTACTTGGCCCTGAACTGAATCTTGACAGTATGTATAAAGAAGCATAAACAGGAAAAAAGCATGAAGTGCCAGTCAATATATTGATCCTTTTGGCTTATGCTGTGATTTATGGTGGCTCTCCTTTTCCTTTTTAGCACTGAGAACCTAGATTTATTAAGAGAAAGTGAGAAAGGACTGTAAGCATAGGATGGATTCTAAGAAAGGGTGATCCACAATGGCCTCTCTTGATGAATGACTCCATGAACTGCGATTCTACCAGAATTTTGATAGAGAAGGAACTGTTTTATCTATCACTGCCACTTAATCCCAAGCAGAGGCCGCAGGTCAGTTTGTGTCCAGGCAAAAAGGTTTTCCCAAACCAGGCCACATTAGTAGATAGGATCTCAGTGAGCAGATTTGGAGAATCTACTCTTCTAAAGTGGCTAGGAACTTCTATGATGTCTACAATATGGCGAGGTGGCTCTGAAAACCTTCTCAAAGGGAGCCAGATTGATCTTGTGTATCCTAGAAGTATCCAGAAATGTGAGGAAAGAGCTAATGAGACAGCTCTTTTCTAAAAAAAAAAAAATGCAGAAAGGGGCCATGCATTCCACAGTGATGTGCTCCAAAAACTGTTCACAAAGAGATGGTTTTTACTATTAAACCATCAACTGATGTTGGCCTGCAAAGTACCAGCTGGCTTACATTACTTGTAATGTGCTTTGGTGTGTCTCTGATGATAAATATGAAGGGTCCTTTAAGATATACAGAAATATTAAGCAACTGAACATGCTTTTCCCTCCCTTTGAAAATTTAAGAGTCAAAAGAAACATGGAGGCCTTTTAAAGACAGGGAAAAAATTCATGTATGGCTAAGCCAGTTTTTTTTTTCCCCCTCAGACTATGCACAGCCAAGGAAAGAATATTCTCCTAGGGGGTGAAAATAATCAAGTTTGACTCCCAAACATGCGGATTCCAGCCTTCTATCAAATAAAAACCAAAATGCATTTTTATAATCTGGCCTCAATCTGTAGTCTGTGCCCCAAGCAGTGTCTCAGGGTGTTATTTTTCCTTCCAGAAGCCATTCTATTGAAAATGTTCTTACCTGGCATGTACCACGCACAACCTATCAGCAGCTCTTCTCAGACTATTTCAGAGAGCAACCCTCTGGAGCAGAAATCTGACAGTGATTTTTACTCCCTCTGCCTTCCCGGTTCCAAGTACCCAACCCCCGTCCCTGCCATCTCTTCTTCCCACTTGTTATCAGGAGCCTGTGTACACAGCTTGTGATGCTGTTGATAGTTGCAAAGTGCAATCCAGTCTCATTATCAGTGGGGCAGGTGCCCTGCAAAAACCTCACTTAGGTAACACTTCCCATGGAGCAGGGAGCCCAGGAAATAATAAAAGGCTCCAAACATCTTCTCTGTTAATCCAATGGCTTGCACTTGCAAATGAAGGCTTTTTCTTACTCCACTAGAGAATAAGAAACAGCTTTACAATTTTCCCTTTTAAAATGACTACTATTATAATTGCACTGTTGGTTTAATCCTAGACTGTCTTTTTAGTTACTTAAAAAAATTAACTCAACTCTCTTATAGGTTTGGAGATTAACTATTAAGCAAACTTATTGTTCTTTCATTATGTCCACCGATTAGAGTAGTTATGAAACTGACATAAAAATTGATTTCCTTTGAAAGCTGAGGCCTAAGAATGTTCTACTCATAGGAGATTAAAATTATTGACTATTGACTTGAAAATGTCTAGCATAGACAAGTCATGTATTGTGAACTCTTGTTATTGATGAATGTAGTAGTCAAGAAAATGGGCCTCCTCTCACAGAAGAAGACAGATATGAAGAGAGGTATATGCTACTCCAACAGCCAAAAGCACACCTCAGAATGAGGACAGGTTCTCCAGGGCATTCTAAGCAGTCTGTGTCTGAAGTAGATCAACGTGACTGGCAAAGAACAAAAGCAAGCAAGTTTCTCCCTTGTACTTTCTTCTAAGCTTATTTCTAGGAAGCCTTGGGAGCTGGAACAGCTCAGGAAGTCCATCTTAAGATTTGCTTCCTGTCTGTGTTTTCCAGAACTGCTACACACTGGTGTGAACTTTGTACAATTTACTTAATATCAACAAGGACCATTTTCTGACGTGTATTTAAAAAACAGATAAATTTTAATTTCCAGATTTTTTTTGTCTGAATGCCCATTCTCCAAATGGGAATGTTAGGACCTATAATCCAAATTGGATTTCCAGGAGGCAGACATCCCCTTGGATATGGGAGGCACTGACTGACGATAATACAGAAATGTATAATCCAATAGCCAATGAAAATATAATGTCCAATGGGGCAGACACATGCAAAGAAAGTAGATCTAGAATTATCCTATCAAGGACAGGAAAATTGGAAGTAATTGGTTTGGGGTAAGGCCTTGGGTGGCTGATAGAGGAAACAAGAGAAAGTTGTTTGCCTCATTGGTTCAAGTAGCTAGGTTAAGTTACCATGAATAGTGCCTGCTACCACTAGTCAGAATCAGACATCACAAACAACTGAAGAATTTTAACACTTTCACAACCACACTCCCGTGTGAAATATGATCCTTCCCATAGAGTGGCCAAGACTTCTCTGCCATTTTGCTACTCCATGATCTATAACACATACTCTGAGACTCAAAAATTGAATCTGATTTGCCTGCAATCCCATAACTAATGCTATATCAAAAGCCAGAAAAGAATATGTACTACTAATAAAATATTCTGCACATGATCAATTATTGTAGACAATAGAATGATAGAAGAGTGGTTTGTAAGAAAGTAAAGATTTTTGAGCCATCAAGGACTGCTGAATTATCTATGCCCTAGGAAAGAAAGTAGACCTGTATTTCAAATACAAATTCAGTAAAATGGGACAGTTTTCTTGGAGCACAAAAGTTATCTTTATACAACTATTTCACTCCACAAAGCTTCCTACAGAGTAAGATGGTGTTATCAATGCTATTTGCTCACCCAGTTAGAGCTAAGCTGGGCTATAAAAATCTCGAGCTTCCTCTTTAATAGGCAGTAAAAGGGATCCTGTTTTCCTTAGTGTTATGTTTTCTTGTTCTCTTTCTTTCTTTCTTTCTTTCTTTCTTTCTTTCTTTCTTTCTTTCTTTCTTTCTTTCTTTCTTTCTTTTTTCAGTTGTATCCAATGTTTGCTTTTAATAACTTAAAAATTATTTTGAAGAATTTGGAAATAGTACAGAAAAATAGGCAATAATTTGCCATAGATGCTGACAATTGGGAAAGTGAATATAACTTGATATTTTAACTTTACACTTAGAATATAACATAAATAGAAACTCTTCCTAATTCTTATTTTAGAAATTTCAAAACGTTTTTTTAACAGAGAAAATAGAAGAATTTGGACAGTGTAATTTCATACTTCTTCAGTAAATATGGCAATAGATAGTGAGGCACATGTGTGGAAGTCCAGGGATTAGCTGTGTGAGACCCAAGATGTCTTTATCTTATCTGGGATTTTGTTCCCTCATCTGTTAAGTAGGACAATCGTGTCTGCTCCCTATTACCTTTGATTATATTATGAGTGTGTCTCAGAATAAATCAGAACCATGGAAAATACTCAGCTAAATCTAGCTTTGTCTCATCTGCTCTTTAGAAGCATTTGCCATGGATTGTTCTTCTAATGTCCTTCACTTCCTGTCTTCTTGTCTGTGCTGATGAGTTCAAAGATCATCTCTAG